GTGCAGACTGGTGCAACCACTGTGAAAATCAATATGGAGATACCTCAAACAACTAGGATTGGAAGTCTCATTTGACCCAGCTATTCCTCTACTAGGTATCTTCTCAAAAGAATTAAAAGAATCCTACCACAGTGACATATGCTCACCCATGTTTATAGTGGCACAGTTTGTAATAGCTAAAACTTGGAAACAGCCCCATTGCCCATCAAAGGAGACTGGATAAGGAAGATGTGGTTTTTTTAATAAAATGAAGTACTACTCAGCAATAAAGAGAAACTAGAGACATTTATACCTAAGTGGATGCACATTGATGCCATAATCTTAAGTGAAATAAATAGGACACACATGTGTAAATACCAAATAGTTTCTCTGGTGTGAAAAACTATAACTGTAAAAAAGAATCAAAATGTATAATTGATATTGTGAAATAGGAAGAAAATGTTTAATGGAATAGGGGAAGTGAAAGGGGAAGGGCAAAGGAAAGAAGGGAAAAGAAAAAATATGAGAAAAGGAAAAACATGGAAACAAAGTCTTTGTAAATAAGGAAAGGTGGAGGGAGTAAAGGGAGGGCAGCGCAATGGGGCAAAAATAAGAACCAAGATACATCATGTAAAGGTACAAGATCCCAATGATGAATGTAACTGTATTGTATACCTAAAATGTACCAATAAACTAAACGCAAAAAAAAGTGGTGGATGCTTTTAGTAGGCTAACTCTTATATTTGGTAAATGTACATGTGCATATATGACAGAGGCCCCACTACATTGCTAATTTTCCTTTAATATCTCATTCAAATTATAAATATAGTACTATCAGAATCGCCTCTTACCTGATATAATAGTCATTTCTGATAAGCAAAAAATGTTGTAGAATGGATAATAAATAAGATTCAGCAGCAGTGTCTTTCAACATATTATATAGAAGATGGTATACTTCATTCATATCAGTAAAATGTAAGTAAAGGAAAAAAATCAAAGATTCTTGATGAAAGTTACATTAATAACAAAAGCAGTTTAAATTTTAAAATACAGATTTGTAATTTTGCTTCCTTTACTGTTACCAAAACATTCAACTCCATGATCCACTATTTAAAGATTTACATACAGAAAATGATTCTGTGGAATCACTTTCATCTTTTAACTACGGTAACAGAACAAAGGAACATTTCCTGGTCCACTTGACTATTAAAATCTTAAATGATCAGTCATTCATTAAAATAAAGTCTAGATTATAGCTAGAACCATTGGAACTGCAATGCTGTTTATTAAAATGGTTTTGTTCTGCTCTCCCTGTGTTTTTGATAGGGGACCTATAATAGGCCCTATATTATTCATGCAAGCCACTACTACTCTATTTTCACTGGCATGTAAGATAGAAGGCAAGCATGTTGTGAACTACTAAAACATCACAAAAACAGTTTTATTTTCTCCAGATGAAGTCCTAAACCTGAAATTGCTATTGGTATCCTTCTGCATTTCTTTGAGAAAAAATGGAGAGTAAAGACAACGGTGGTTGAAACATTTTTCTTAGAATACAAAAAAAAGTGGTAGAACTGAAAATGCTTTTAGTAAAGTAGAAAACAGATTTCAAAGATGGATTCACTGTTATAACAAAAGTGAGGACCGGAAAAATCAATGTAGAATAAAGGTAAAAGATGAAATGTAATCCAACATCCTAAAAATCACTTGAAATGTCAATATTTTCTTTGAAGTAGAATTAAGTATCAGATGGATTACTTCTTGGACACCACATAAGAATGTTGTGTTAAAGTATCATTAGATCCTTTAAATGACTGCAGAATGGGTTCAAAAAAATACCTTTTTGGTGCAGCTGGACTATAAAAAATATCTGTATAAAGAAAAATATATATTGATATAAAAGGCATTTAATATAAGAGAAGCCACTGCAGAATGGTCACTAATCTCAGACAAAAAAATTATTCCTTACAATAATAACATTGTCATTCATTGCACACACATTTATATAATACCTATATGTATGACTTCATATAAGAACAGTGGAAGAAAAAGAGCTGAAATATAAAATTTCTGCCCTCCATCTCACAGGCCAGAAAAGTGTACATAAATAATACAGAACAAACAATCATGAGATTTTCAAGGAGGGGAATATTACTCCAGCTTTATTTAAGGGATTAGGGGGATAGACGGAATAACATATTACCAAGAAAAAGTCTATCTGAAAGGGAACTTTGGTTCTGATATGTTTCCCAGTATCCCAGAATCCATAAGAAATTTAATAGATGTGAAACAAATGGCTAACAGTGCTAGGACCACAATCTTTTAGATCTAAATTCACTTCACATATCAACAATACCATAAGAAGAGTATATGCTAGTTGCATTTGACTCATACACCTCCATGACATAGCCTTGTTATATAGTCAGCTACTTATTGTAGCTAAACACTTTTTTTGGAACTGTTAAAGAAGAAAACTTATCTGATAGCAAGTAATACATTTATTTCACTTGAATTCTATCTCTAAATGGAGTAGTATTTAATAAACTGAAAATGTATATTAACTTTAGTCACACATAAACTCAGGGAACTTTTCCCCATTTTTATATGTTAGATATACTTGCATTAGGCTCTTGTCTATCCGAGGCCACTGAGCAGAGTATATCTATAACATACTCTAATATTTAATATAGTCTATATAACTCACCAGTACAGTCTGAAAGTTCCTCGGTATGAATCTGAAGAATAGCATCATAGTGAGATTCTAATGTAAATAAATGGATATTAATTGGGCTAACAGACAAAAACTATAATACTGGGTCACAAAAATTACTCCAAAATTCACTTTTAATATGTTCAAAACTATTTTTGTGATTAGCCAAAGGATATTCCATTTCTGCTCGAATGTCATTCAGACGGTGAGACAATTCAGTTAAGTCATCCTCTTTGTTCTCATCAAAAACTTTCAACTGAATATCAAGCTCCTCATTCTCTTTTTCTTTTAGACCCTAATATGTAAACATAAAATTTAGCACATGAACAACAGTTTGACAATAAAATATTTCAATAATAATGAGCAGAACACAATTCTTCATTTATACACATGGATGCAATTTCAAATATTGACGCAGGCAATTTGGTTTCCTGAAGACAGAAAATGTAACAAAGTTTTTCTATTTCAAAATAAAAGAAGCTTATTACATTCACTGTATTGTCCTGCTAAATCCCACATCCTGCTTATTCACATTAAAAAATTAACAATTACGTTACAAAAACAGAAAAACCACTAATTGCTAACTATCCAAATTAAATGCTATAGGTTGGAACAAACATACTAATCAAAGGTTGCAAAAGAATGCATGCAGTTAGAACGTTCCATATGCCTCTGGCACAAAAAGTACATATAGACCAATTGTATTAACAAAGAAAAAATGCAAAGATATATTCAAGCACAACATTCCCAAGTATGGCGTGGAAAAGTTTTATAAACAAAATTATTTTAAATGATATTTTGTGATATTAAAGCAAAAAGGTGTTAGGATTTTTTTTAAAATCAAGCTGTATATCTAGCCTCCTCCCCCATCTTTCATTTTTGCTTAGCCTAATCACAAAATACCAACTTGGGCATTGAAGATTTGTTTTTTGTAATATAAGCACATGCATTACAATGCTCTGATGATTTTCAAAATAATGGTATAAAAACACTTTGGAAGCATGCCACACTAGAGATTGTTGGGCTTAATATATATCACCTGGAATATCTTTAATATGTGTCCTTTAAGATGCAGCTTTCAAACCCAAATCAATAATCACACCTGTGGATGCTCAAGGGCGATACCAAAAGTGAGACTATGATGTTCAGAGCTGAACTGGAACTCTAAAAGGAAATGCAAGCATGGTGTACTTCAAATTAGGTAAATTTTTAAAATGGGATGCACTTGTTTATATATTTTTATTCAAAAGAATAGTTATAAATGGGGCTGTAATAATGTAATTATATGTAATAATTTAATGAGATTGTATTTATAGAGCAAAAGAAAACACTTTTTATTAAGTTTCTGCCCAATGTATCCAAATAGTTTCATCTTTTATAAGAATGTGCTTTGAGTCAGTTTTCCAATTTGAAGAGTAATGAAGAGATTTATTAAAATGCAAAATTATCTAACATTAGATCTTATTATCATTGGATTTCTGAATTATTTTCAGAAAATGACAGATGTCAGACATATCCATATGTTGATCACTCCAGAAACAACCTTTCACACATTTTAAAGTATATTCTTTTCCTCATTCTTACATCACAATATATTACACATCCATCATAAAACTTGAGTACTTTCAAAGGTTTGAAAAACAGAAAAATGTAAGTTAAATACTGACATCTAATCAGCATAAAAACTTTAGAAAACATGGAAGTTAGTCTACATAATTAAAATATTTTCAGTGAAAATAACTCATTGTGTAATTTATACAGTATAATAGAAAAGGACAAACATGTATAACTGTAATCTATTGTAAATGCTCTTTATCAATAATGCTCTAGGCTACTAAAATGAATATATAACATATGTTTATTTATATTTATAAAATTTCCTTTCAGGCAAATGTCAAACCCAGAAAGATGTATCTATAAAATCTTGATAAAACAAACATTTAATCAATTAAATCTTTTTACATAGCACTAATAATATGTCAGATATCCTATAAAATGGAAATATATCACAAAAGTATATAATGAAATGATGACTATCATAAAATTTTCTGAATTACACTATCACTAGCATGTGAAGTTATATATATGCTTAAGTTTTTTTAACAGAACAATTGCATAGTTATGAAATGTTGTTTTGCACAATACCTGAAATATAAATTAAGTTTTTATAATACAGTGTACTTCAAAGAAGTGCACTATTATCAGCACACTAGTGATTACCAGCCATTACCAGTTAAGTTTTCAAAAGAGTAAAAAGGAGCTCATCAGTCTTTTAAAAGAGATAAAGTATGCCCATAGCCTACAAACATGATTTCTCACTACATTGTTCCTTCATGTATCTGATTTACCTAATATTTACTTATTTACCTAAAAAAAAAAAAAAAGCAAATAAAGGAGAAGAAAATTGGCACAGCGAAGATCAGCAACAAAAGACAGCCTCTCAGGGACCCAGAATCCAGACAGCTAGAAAATAACAACTTGGAGAAAAGAAAAAACAAGTACCTGTTGATTCCAGGAATCAGGAGGGAGCTGTAAGGAAAACTAGAAACTACAGAGAAGCTGGAGAAAGGAAGCACAATGCAGAGAAAAGAACAAAGCAGTCTGGAAGTTCTCTCTGGCTGTTGAGAAGGAGAACCTGCCTCCACAGACACAAGATGTGCCCTCAGGGTAACGAACTCCAGGGAGAAACAACAGCCATGAAGAATTCATGAAGACTACATATAGTAAGAAGTACTTCCTCCTATAAAAGGCCTTGTACAGGGTAAATGGTCAGCAGAAAAACATAGTTTAGAAACACTGATTCAAAAATCTTAGTTGTCAGTGTAACCAAATGAGCAACATACTATGAAATCACAAAGCCTGGAAAAGATTAATACATTCAGATGAAAAGGCAAAAGGTAAGGACAAGAGTTATCTTACCTATTATTTTTTAAATGATGTGAACTGCCAGATGTGGTTGAGCACACCTGTAACCCCAGCACTCAGAAGGCTGAGGCAGGAGTATCACCCCAAGTTCTAGGTCAACCTGGGCTACATAGTGAGACACTGTCTCAAAAAATCCATTCCAAAACAATGATGAGAATCAAAATAAATTAAAATGAGAATCATAGATTTCTTCACCAGCCATTCAGTAGTATAAGGCAGAAAATGTTAAATTAGACATAAAGGCAAATGAAAGATGAGAAGAGTAACAGGAACAATTAAGGCAGAAAATATGCCATAAGAGTAACTGAGTACAAAATGCCAAAGAGCCCCAGCAGCCAGCCAGTGTCCAGACAGTACTTTTCTAGAAATAGAGAAACAGTCCAGTAAGAACAAGCAGGGAAACCTAAAAAAGCAACTTAAAAGCAAAGTAGACAAGAACTTCTCTAACTTTCTAAGGCCAGAAGCTTTTCAGAAGGAGAGATTAGTGATAAAACAAGAATAAACACATGCTATAAATGCTATAATTTTTTTGTGCATTCACCTATCTTAACTGCACATTCAGCCTCTACATGGGTTATTTAAAATGTTGCTGTGATCAATACAGCCAATTGCTTGGACTTTAAAATTAAGAATTAAAGAATCATTCAAGACCATGTTGAGATATAAATTTCTGAAAACAAGTAGACCCATTAATACAACTTATAATCAGTTTCAATGAAGAGCAGTCAATCAAAATTTACAGATGCATACTATACACTTACTGGTTCCTCACCAGCTAACTTTCCCAATTTTTGTATTTCAATTAACCTTATGTCTCCTTTTAACAATATCCGTGTCTTTAAAAAAGTCACTCTTCAGTTAATATGCTTAATAAAATAAAGTACAGAGCCACAGTAGCTATATTATTAGAACATGCTTATTTATCTTAGATGAACATAATTTTTCAAAAAATATTTAACACTATCATAATTATAACAAGTATTTCTATTTAAGAAATAATTTTTTTTCTTTAGAATCATAATCTTTTATATTCTCAATAGTCAAAATTGAAAGAAGCTCCCTATTGATGTGAAGAAGCCAAAAAATTTGAAACACATACACATCAATAGGTGCATTTTAAATCCTGAATCATCACTTGTATACTGAAACTGCTATTACTACAATATATAAAAGCTTACAAAATTTCTAATTCTTTACGAAAAAAAAAATAGCAAGGCACGTGTATATACCCTGTTTGAAGACATAATTTTGTTCAAAGAGGAAAAAAAAAGTTATAGTTCATCAACATAATAAATGTATGTACACAACTTACTGGTAACATTGCTTTTAGTCCTGAACGAAGGAATTCATTTCTTAAATGTATTCGAAAATCAAGTTCATAAGGAGAAGTGACAAGGGCATTTATAAACTGCATGCAGGCCACCTGAAATAAGAAAGGAAATTTTGTTTAGAGAAAACAAATTGAAATAAATTAAGGAACTATTTGCTTAATACATTCAAATAATGTACTGACTAAAGACATTAATACATATACAATAAATTAAGAAATGCAAATATTTCTACATATATAATGATGATCATCTTTAGATTATAAACAACAAAATTAACTGTAGTTTCTGATGTTCAAAGTAATTCTAACAAAGAGGTGATGATGGTCAAGTGTGCATGCTTTGCTGAACAATATAAAAAAAATTAAACTCCCTCTGAGAAACCCAAAGCTAAGAAAGTACGCATCTAGAGCCTTTGAAATGATTATGAAATGTATCTTTCATATCCAGCTGTCTTTACAGTACCATTGGCTTCAATTCTCCATGGTTATAAATACTTTACTAACATAAATAAAGTTATAAAGTACCCTAATATTTAACAAGAAACAGTGATAACTCAGAGAAATCATTGATTTATACACTTTCCATCCTCTTATTGGGATGAATTTGCACAAAACAGAGTACTAAAATATATAATTAAAATAAATCCACTTGGTAAATGTGAAAAATTAATGTAACTGAATTAATATCAACCAGAAGGCACTGTGACACCAATACTAAAATGCACTGCATAATAAAGTATATATGAGGGCTTGTTTCCCAATGAAATGTTTCATTAATTATATTGATGCTAGAAAATGAGTTTTGCTATTTTACCTTCTGATTTTGGAGCTCCCTATCATGAAAGAGGACTTACTTTCTGGAAATTGTAAACTAGAAGGGAATCAACAAAATGTTAATTTTCAAGTATTCCGTTCATTATCCAACAGCAGCATGTTTGAAAATGCTACTCAAATCTAAGGCAACTTGCAAATAGATTAATTGAAGAGCTATACATCTAAATTGATTATATTTAGTGTCCAGTGAGTAGTAGAGTGTTCAAAGAGCTGAATGGAAGAGAACTTCTAGAAAATACCAAAAGTAAAAATGTTAAGTATCTATAAAAAGAACATAAATAAATCAAGGGCATAGTAAAAACACAAGCAAAAACAAACTTCAAAAGTATTTTGACTTGTATTCCATAGAGCTGTTTGTTTGTGACATGGTTTCACTAGGTAATTCAGGCTGACCTTGAATTCACTATGTATTCCAGGCTAGCCTTGAACTTGAGGTGATCCTCCTGCCTTAGCCTCCCAAGTGCTGGGATACAGGCCTGTACCACCACACCTGGCTTTCCAGATGTATCTTTATGATAGAGGTTTTTTTCAAAGTAGAAAGAAAAGATCAAAATGTATACTGCTTTTACTTTTGTATCTGTATTTTATATAGCTAAGCGATTTTTGAGATCATATATTTCACATCCAGTTTCAAAAATCAAAAGTTGTATGTTTTAAAAGAGGCATTTTGGGTTATTTATAACATACAAGATATCTAAATGATAACTGAACAAGGTAGTCCAATTACAAGAATGTTCACATATCAAGATAACACAGACAACTGACTAAATATTTGGCATAGAGTTGTCATTACCTTAACAGATATACAAAGTAAAATGTTATGGTGTTTACAATTTAATTGCATAACATTCTTATCTACAATATACAAATTGTGTCAATATTTGTATATGTTTATATACTCTGTATGGTGCTGTATTATTTTATTTGCTTGAGTGATTATTATTGTGTCACAGCTATAACATGGCTGAACAAACCAAAGTACATCCCCAATTCAAAATTAATAGAGAGAAAAGTTGCCTGCTGCTACGGTTTGTTTTGCCAGAAGAAATTCTAGCTTAATGGCTTGTATTAATAGCCTACAAGTAAAAAGAACATTCCATAAGAAGCAAATTAATGAATCTTGTAACTGTACCTTTACACAAATGAAAGTATTTACATCAAGAAACATTAAAAATAGTAAAAGTCAAAATTAATGAACAAAGCAACATAAAAATTATTTTACACTTAATGCTGCAATGCTAATCTGTTACATATAATGTATAAATATATAGTTGAATATGAAAACAGAAGTTGAATCTACAAACCATAGTATCAAATAATGAGCAGACACACTGAAGTCAGTAGATTAAACAAGTAAAAACAAAGGTTTATCAATGAACCCTTTAGTATTTATCAAATTCTAACAGAAATCTAATTAATTATAAATAAGATAGTCATATTTCCACATAATTTTCTAACTTAATTACTCGAATACTATTCTTTTCCAGAAATATTTATATTGCCTGAACGTTAGGAACAAAAAAGTTATCTTAAGTGTTTCCATCCTTTATACCACAGTCACTGCCTTTTTCAGAGAACAAGAACATATCAATCCAAAAGTGAAATAATTGTCACTGCTCCCGGTCACAGGGAACTCGCCCCATCCACCCCGCGCCAGCCAGCCACATCCGCTGACACGGCAGAGGGCTCCCGGTCACAGGGAAGCTGCTCCATCCAGCCCGCACCAGCCAGGCACATCCATGGACGCCACAGAGGGGTCCCCGGTCGCAGGGAACCCACCCCATCCAGCCCGCGCCCCTGGGAGCGATCCACTTAGCAGCTCAGTCACCTGCAGGACCCCCTACACACACACTGCTCCTCTGGCCTCCTGGCTGTACTGCCACCTGGTTCCACACTACAAAGACACAGGGGACAACAGACCACCAGACCACTGTACTGGGTAAATTGGAGGGATCATCACCTCCCATGGGAATCGGGACTATCTTCAGGGTAAGGGAAGCTGGAACCTGCAGTACAACCCTACAGAGTTCAACCCAAGAGGAGGACACGGAGCTCAACTTGGGACTTGCAGCCAGAAATCTGTCTGAATCTCACGGGTCTGCGACTGGTTTGCTGAAACTTACTGACATATCTGCACACTGCTGCTCACGTGGTCTATTGTGACAGCAGAGAAATACCCCGAAGGAGGCCTTCATTTTCATTTTTATTTTCTATTTCCAAAATTAGTATTATTGGTTTATTTTGCCTCTTTAATTTTTTTTCCTACTCTTTGCAACTTTCTGTTTTTCTCTTCTTTTTTTTCTGCTTTCTTTTCTTTCATTTCTCTCTCTCTTACACTCACTCTCTGGCTGTGCCACATTGTTCATCTCCCTTTCTGTTCCTGTTCTGGCCCTCATTCAGATTTCTTCTTTACTTTTCTATTATTCTCTTTGTCCTTCTCTCGCCTGTGTCCTCTGGCCTCACTGCTAATGTTCCCATATTCTTCTACCTATCTATCCCTCCCTGACCAACTACTTCTAACTCCCCATCCCAAAGGGCAAAGTTGGTAAATTGAAGAGTTTATTCACTATACACATATGTTGGGTTAGTCCTTGATTTTGATTTAATTCACACAGTTAAAGGTGATAGATTAATAACTACCACAAAATGTCATTTTCTAAGATGTACTTGATGCTATGGTGTTGCTGATTGTATCACTTGGGCTAAGGTGTTGGTATTGATCTAGTCAGTGGTCCTTCCTGGTATAATGAAAATGACATAACCTCAGAGTCATTAGAGACTCAAAAATTAAAGACCAGGTATATCTGGAAGACACATCTGAGAAGCAATAATTCCATAAGGGTTCTAATTACAAGCAACAAAGATACTTACAATAAGCAATTTTGAAGTATTAACCCAGGAGTTAAACCAAGGACAGTACCAGAAACAAAAAAGAGAAGACATTTAAGCAAGGCACAAACTCAGACTTCCACCTCACCAAGGGTAAACCCCGGGGGGAAAGAGGTGGAAAAGTCTGATAACCAACCACCTGGATACCCTGAACTCATAACACAGGAAGTAACAAAACACATGAATGAGGATCTAGAAAAATTCAAAGCAGAAATAATCTCCCCGATATCCACAGAGATGGTGAGCAGAGTGAAAGACATGATTAGAGGCTCTAGAAAAGAAACAGATAAAAAAAATACATGAGCTCAGAAACATGCTGGAAGCCAGGAATGCCCAGCATAAGAAAAGAATGGAAACCACGATTGCCCAACATGAGAAAGAAATGGAATCCATGAAACAGATTCAAATAAATATTCAGGAGATTAAAAACTCCATTGAAAGGACCCATAGCAGATTAAGGGAATCTGAAGATAGAATATGAGATATACAAGACAGGATCGTGGTTAAGGACCATGAAAATAGAGATTTATGAAAAATAGTAAAGGACCATGAGAAATCAATCCAGCACCTGCTAGATGATGCAAAGAAGAATAACATAAGACTGACAGGAGTCCATAAAAAAACAGGAGAAAGTACAATTGATGTAAAAAAAACTGTTCACAGAAGTAATAGTGGAAAACTTCCCAGACAGAGGTAAAGAACTGAACATACAGATAAGGGAGGCGTATAGAACTTTAACGAGCCATGATCAAAAAAACCCTACATCTAGACATATAATAGTCAAGTTCCCAGAAACCCAACAGAAGAACAAAATCCTACAAGCAGTTAGAGAAAAGAAACAAATCACCTACAAAGGAAGGCCCATCAGAATCACAGCAGATTTCTCAACACAAATCCTCAACTCAAGGAGAGCCTGGAGTGAAGTATTTCAAGCCCTAAAAGAAAATAACTTCCAAACTAGACTGTTGTATCCTGCAA